CAGGCCCTGGGGGTTAAAACCCCCTTTTGCTTAATATATAGTATAGATAGTATAGATTATATTAAAGTTTAATATTTTGATAATAATCATATGGGTTAGACTTTTCAAAGAATTAAATGTTTTTTTATTATATTATATTAAAATTTAATATTTTGATAATAATCATATGGGTTAGACTTTTCAAAGAATTAAATGTTTTTTTATTATATTATATTAAAATTTAATATTTTGATAATAATCATATGGGTTAGACTTTTCAAAGAATTAAATGTTTTTTTATTATATTATATTAAAATTTAATATTTTGATAATAATCATATGGGTTAGACTTTTCAAAGAATTAAATGTTTTTTTATTATATTATATTAAAATTTAATATTTTGATAATAATCATATGGGTTAGACTTTTCAAAGAATTAAATGTTTTTTTATTATATTATATTAAAATTTAATATTTTGATAATAATCATATGGGTTAGACTTTTCAAAGAATTAAATGTTTTTTTATTATATTATATTAAAATTTAATATTTTGATAATAATCATATGGGTTAGACTTTTCAAAGAATTAAATGTTTTTTTATTATATTATATTAAAATTTAATATTTTGATAATAATCATATGGGTTAGACTTTTCAAAGAATTAAATGTTTTTTTATTATATTATATTAAAATTTAATATTTTGATAATAATCATATGGGTTAGACTTTTCAAAGAATTAAATGTTTTTTTATTATATTATATTAAAATTTAATATTTTGATAATAATCATATGGGTTAGACTTTTCAAAGAATTAAATGTTTTTTTATTATATTATATTAAAATTTAATATTTTGATAATAATCATATGGGTTAGACTTTTCAAAGAATTAAATGTTTTTTTATTATATTATATTAAAATTTAATATTTTGATAATAATCATATGGGTTAGACTTTTCAAAGAATTAAATGTTTTTTTATTATATTATATTAAAATTTAATATTTTGATAATAATCATATGGGTTAGACTTTTCAAAGAATTAAATGTTTTTTTATTATATTATATTAAAATTTAATATTTTGATAATAATCATATGGGTTAGACTTTTCAAAGAATTAAATGTTTTTTTATTATATTATATTAAAATTTAATATTTTGATAATAATCATATGGGTTAGACTTTTCAAAGAATTAAATGTTTTTTTATTATATTATATTAAAATTTAATATTTTGATAATAATCATATGGGTTAGACTTTTCAAAGAATTAAATGTTTTTTTATTATATTATATTAAAATTTAATATTTTGATAATAATCATATGTGTTAAACTTTTCAAGAATTTTTTTTTATACTTGTTTTTAATGCATTAAAGTGTTATTATGAGGGATAATAATCATATGTGTTTGGACTATTCAAGGAATTCATATGTTGGATTTTAAAGAATTTTTTTTATACTTGTTCTTAATTAATTAAAATGTTATTATGAGGGTAAGACTTGGGGGTTGGGAGAAGTTAATAAATGCTAAGGTTTTTTTTCTTTTTTAAATCAAAAAATCAAGAAATTTAGATGGGAAGATTGGAGCTCCCACAAGTTTGGCGTTAAAAACCCCCTTTTACTTAATATATAGTATAGATATATATATACATATATATATATAGATATAAATTTTAGGGAGTGAAAACTCTAAAAATATTTTTCAACAGACTCCCTAAAAAGTTTCCTAATTTAACAAATGTTACAGTGATTCCTTATATATGAGGAGCCACTGTTCATTCCTTAAATATATAATATTAATTTTTTTTTCTCATTCTTTTTCTCTCTATGATTTCTAATTTAATTGTCACACTAACTTTTTAAAAAATAAGTTTAAAAAAAAAAAAAAAAAAAAAAAAAAAAAAAAAAAAAAACTTGAAACATTAAGGGGCCAAAGTGAAAAAAAATTAAAAATAATAAAAATAAAAAATTCTAAGTGCTAAAGTGAAAAAAAAAAAAACCAAACATAAAATGGACAAAATATAATTTACCCTTATTTTCTTTCATTGTATGGAGGATTAATGCCATAATAATAGTGGTTTTGAATGAATTATTACCAAACTCAAAAGAGTGATCATGGATGTTTAGCCATGATGCAATTTGTCAGTCCCTTCCCTTTGCCCTCATTTTTATTGATGTAATTTTTGTTCTCTTCGCTTAAATTTTCATCAATAAAAAGGTTTTTTTTTTTTTTGCCAAAAAAAAAAAGGGAAAAAAGAAAAAAGAAAAAAGGTCAGCTGCAAAGTCTTGGAATCAATCTCCCACACAGATCATTATTATTGCAAGCAATCCTCTGCATAGCAGATCTATTTTTTCATACAACAAACAGTTCCCATACAAAATCCATTTGATATTGTATAGGATCAACAGCTTACAAACACATAAACAAAAAAACAAAAAACAAAACAAAAACAAAAATAAAAATAAATAAATAAGAAGACTAGTAAATACATAACTGGGTTCAGAGTGCTGGATTTTATTGGGTGTGGAAGTTTTGCAGCTGTACCTTAACAAGCTTAAGCAGAACACTGGAAACCAGAAGGAGGTGTCTTCCCACAGTCTAGAAGGACTTGAAGAGCAATTGGTATAATAATGCTAATATTCAGCAGCTTTGCCTTAATGGTTGTGCAAAGACATACAGCTGCATCCAAGTCCACTAGTCCTTGCAACACTGGACAACAAGTGTCCTTAGCGCTGCTTCCGATTCCAATATGAATTAGGCCACTTAACACGTCCACACACGCGCCTAGTTTGAGAGTGTCGATTGGGCACGTTTGTTGTGCCGGAGGAGGGTATGGCACCACCATTGGGGGTGGTGGTGGACATGGCGTTTCTGGCGGCGGAGGAGGAGGACATGGCTTTTCAACCGGGGGAGAAGGAGGCATCACAATTGGTGTCGGTGGTGGTGGCACCACAATTGGTGGAGAAGGTGGTTGTGGTGGCACCACAATTGGTGGAGAAGGTGGTTTTACTATCGGAGGGCTGGGGACATAAGGCGGCGGCTTTACTATTGGAGGGTTGGGGGCATAAGGTGGCGGAGAAGGTGGTTTTACTATTGGAGGGCTGGGGACATAAGGCGGCTTTACTATTGGAGGGTTGGGGACGTAAGGCGGCGGCTTTACTATTGGAGGGTTGGGGACATAAGGCGGCGGAGAAGGTGGTTTTACTATTGGAGGGCTGGGGACATAAGGCGGCTTTACTATTGGAGGGTTGGGGACGTAAGGCGGCGGCTTCACTATTGGAGGTTTGGGCACGTAGGGTGGTTTAACAACGGGTGGTTTGGGCACGTATGGTGGTCGAACAACAGGTGGTTTGGGCACGAATGGTGGTCTAACAACAGGTGGTTTGGGCACATGTGGTGGTCGAACAGGTGGTTTGGGCACATATGGTGGTTTAACAACGGGTGGTTTGGGCACGTATGGTGGTCGAACAATAGGTGGTTTGGGCACGTATGGTGGTCGAACAACGGGTGGTTTGGGCACATATGGTGGTTTAACAACGGGTGGTTTGGGGACGTAAGGCGGTTTCACAATTGGAGGTTTGGGTGGTGGCTTAGAAGGATGTTGGGGTGGCAAGGGAGGCAATTTGGGTGGTTTGGAAGGCGGCGTTGGGTATGGACAGTAAGGGCATGCAAGTGTAGTTAGCAAAGTCCCCAAGTTCAGAAGAAGGATTAAAAGACTTGCCAAAGTAGTATACTTGGCCATGGTTTGACAAAAACCACTATTGTCAAGGTGGTGCAGGGGAGAGAATTTGTAAAGACCCACTCACACACACACAGGGTGCTTGCTTGTGAACACACACACACACTAGCCTTCTCTTATAGAAGGAAAAGGAGGCAGGGCATGGACAATAAAATACTCTTAATTGAAATGTTTGTCGTGATTGGTTGACTAAAGAGACGACATAGTATTACTCTTCTCTTAATTCCTTTCAAAGGGTAAATCATAAATTTACCTCTCAAAATTTAAATACTTATATACATGTGAGAAGATTTATAAATTTGACAAATAATTATACTTAGTAGGGTTCAATTAAATAGAATTAAAACATGTGGTGCATAAACACATGACTAATCACAGGTAAAATGTATATTTCAATATTTATTCATTCATATGATTAATGAATGACTAACAAAAAATAGACAATATGTTATGTGAATTAAAATATTAAAGGAGGGCATTATATATAATTAACATGTGATACTATCTATTCATATCAAATTTAAAATATCATCTCACGTGGCACAATCACAACTATTATTTGTATATTAATAGAACTTTCTTTTTGTCGGTGGTACAAGACAACGACGGTGGCTCCATAAGAAAAGAAGAAGAAAGGTGGCAACAGCTATGAAAGGGAAGTAGTAGTAGATTTTTTTTTAAAAAATGGTAAATTACATTGACACTCCTGAGATTTATGTTTATTATAGTTCCTCCCTCACCTTTTGAAAATTACATTCCCCTCTCTGAGGTTTAAAGTTTCATTACAGATTATTCCCTGAAGTTTAAAGTTTCATAACAATTCTCCCCATTACCGTAATGATTATCATACATAAAATTAAATTAACAAGGAGGGTCAATGTAATTTTCTAAATGTAAGGAAAAAACTGTAATAAATATAAATCTTAGGGGGTGTCAGTGTAATTTACCCAAAAAAAAAAGGGATGGAGTGATAGCAATGCATTAGGGAAGAAGAGTGGTGATGGATAACAATAAAAGTTGAAAGTGACTCTCAACCATAATAGACGAAGAAAAATAATTAAATTATCTTTGTTTTGCTAGTTATAACTAACAAATAGTTACAATTGATATCATTTTAAAAATAAAGAATTTAAATTAAAACAATTACAAAATTGATATTTAATTTGTTACTGAGGTGAAACCTTTCAAAAAAAATTTCTTTTAATCTCCCCAAAGCTTAAAAAAAGGAATGTCAGTGCAATGAACCATACTTCGAAAGATTTGGCATGATTGATTGACTTTTACAGAGTAAAAGGCACCACAAATTACAATAGGGATATCCGATACAGAATCCAAAAACAAGCGGCGTTGAGCGGTTTTGGGCTATATGTAGGGTTATAAATGGATTGAGTTATTCATAAACAGATTCGGTTTGGCCCATTTTTTGTTTTTTTTCTTTTAATAGATTAATTGAAATGTTTGTCGTGATTGGTTGACTAAAGGGGCCACAAATGGATGTTGGGGAGAGAGAGAGAGAGACGACAATGATAATATTACTCGTCTCTTAATTCCTTTCAAAGGGTAAATTATAATTTTACCTATCAAAATTTAAATATTTATATACATGTGATAAGATTTATAAATTTGACAAATAATTATACTAGTAAGGTTAAAATAAATAAAATTAAAACATGTGGTGCATAAACACATGACTAATCACAAGTAAAATGTATATTTCAATATTTATTCATTCATATGAATGATTAATGAATGACTAACAAAAAATGAACAATAAGTTATGTGAATTAAAATATTAAAGGATGGCATTATATATATAATTAACATGTGATACTATCTATTCATATCATATTTAAAATATCATCTCATGTGACACAATCACAACTATTTTTCGTAGAACTTACTTTTTGTTAGTAATACTAGACAACGACGGTGGCTCCATAAAAAAAGGAGAAGGGTGGCAGCAGTTAGGGAAGGAGAGTAGCGATAGATTAAAAAAAAACAGATGGAGTGATAGCAGTGCAATAGGGAAGAAGAGTGGTGACGGATAACAATAAAAGTTGGAAGGGACTTTCAACCATAATAAATGAAGAAAATAATTAAATTAATTAAATTATCTTTGTTTTGCTAGTTATAACTAACAAATAACTACAAGTGATACCGTTTTAAAAGTAAAGAATTTAAATTAAAACAATTACGAAATTAACATTTGATTTGTTATTGAGGTGAAACTTAAAAAAAAATTCTTTTAATCTCCTCAAAACTTAAAATAAGGAATGTCATTGAAATGAACCATGTGTCGAAAGATTAAGAAAGATTTGGCATGATTGATTGACTTTTAAACTAAAGGGACACCACAAATTACAATAGGGATATCCATGAGTGATACAGAATTCAAAAGCGAGTTACGCTAAGCTAAGTTCTGGAGGCATATGTAAGGCTACAAATAAACTAAGCTGTTTATAAACAGGTTCGGTTAGGCTTGATTCAATTTATTTAGTAAACGAGCTAAACTCGAACTCGAATATTATTCTCGTTTAATAAACAAGCCAAACTTAAGTTCGAATAAATTTGACTCATCAAACTCAATTCATTCATCTTAATTTAAATTATATAATAAATATATTATTTTTATATTAAATAATGTATATAATATTTGTGATGTAAATATTTTTATTTAAAATAATACAAATAATATTTAAAAAATTTATCGAGCCGAGTTAGAATTTCATTAAATATTAACAAGCCGAGCCAAACGCGAGTCTAATTACTTATCGAGCCGAGTTCGAGCTTAGTAAAGCTCGACTCAACTTGGCTTGTTTACAGCCCTAGGTATATGACAAGAATTTTGAGCCATGAAATTCAAGTAGCTGAGCTGAACTGAGCTTTGAAGAGAGCGACAAGAGAGGAGATTTAAAAAAACGCGATTATGATTTGCTGGTAGGTTTTCATCACTTTCACTTGCAGACTAGCAGAGTGAAGTACTAATGTAGAATTGTCTTCTAGTGACAATTTGAGTCCGTGATTCTGAAAATAATGCTCCCAAAACTACGAGCATGTGACTCCTACAGTACACTCAATTCAAGAACCTCCATATGAGGACAACCTGATAGTAAGATTTTTCATTCATGTTGGGTTCTGGTCTTTGAAAACAACAACAAAATCTAATTCTCTCTCTCTCACAAGTTAAAAATCAATAATCAAACTTTTGCGTGTCGGCCATGTACTATCCCCTTTTTCCCCGTGACTTAAGTAATGTAATTTCATTATCTATATCTATATCTATATATTTATCTATACATGCTGCATTATATGAGAGAGAGAGAGATTTTGCATGCTGCTGCGTTATAGTCAAAAACAAAACATCGCCCTTCATTTGCACAATCCTTTTTTCTTGTATTTGCTTGGGGATTTGAAAAAAAAAAATTAAAAAATGAAAGAGAAAAGGTGTGTGAAATTGATAAAATATAAGTATATTTTATTCATATTTCACCTACCTTTTTCCTTTTCTTTTCGTAATTCCTTCCAAAATCGCTTAACCAAATACAACGTTAGTGTATCATATACAAGTTAAAATATTTTGTGGAGTTGGAATCATTTTATAACTTTCAGTCATAACTAAAGAGACCACAATAGATCAAAACTAAATACAACCTGAGAGATAACATAACAAGCCCAAATGCCAATCATAATAAATCATAACCAAAAAAATATCTTGGGCTCTACAACCACAGTGAGTCATAAATCATACACAACTTAAGTCATAACAAAAGGCATAAAGAAAATCTCATAACCGTGGCATATAGTACACATACACCCTAAAAAAACAAATGTGTATTACAGAATTTCCCAAATCATGATACTTAGATAGTTTTCATCTCAAATAAAATATTGACATCCTTTTTCCCTACTCCCACAATAATTGTGTTTGTATTATGAATTATTCACCCTAAAAAAGTGTCTGCATTATGAACCTAATAATTTTTTTGTTATGCCTCGTAGTGGTGTTGATTATAAACCATATTAATGGCTCAAATTATATTCTTCTTCTTAAAAATTTAAAAGAAAAAAAAAATCTAACTGCTAAAAATTGGGATGCATAAAATATGCATATTTTTCTTAATGTGTAAAGTAGTCTTTCCCATAAAGCAAAAGCCTCTTAACAGTTGATCCAACAAAAATCTCTAACTTCTCAGATCAGATTAACAGCATTTCTGCACAATGTGTCAACCACAAAATTCCCCTAGGTCTTATTCACATTGTTCGAAACAAGCTATCAATATATTGCACCAAATGCAACAATTCAGTCGAGTAATTGCAAGATTTCTGCAAAAATAGGTGTGTCTTCACAAAATAAGTCAAAAGTTTTGAGTCAAAACACATTTCATTTAGCTAAAAAAAAGCCAAATGTTTCCTATAGTTGCTCGCTCCCAAAAGAATCTATAAACAGTCTATCAGCAATTTACATACAAAAACCTACAACTTCTCTCAGTTGTGTCAACACCAGAATTACAAAGATGCATTTCCTTTTCTTTCATAAATTCCTTGTTTCAAGATTCAACAAATTCACAAGCATTCTGCAAGTTGATGTGTATTTTACATCAAACTCAGCATTGAACTTCTAATAGGAACACATTTACTGTTCATACCATGGCATATTATGACACGGGGCTTCTGATGCTTTCTCATTGTAAGTGGCCTCGTTGAGATTTTTTAAGTGGGTATACATATTGCTTTTCATAAAAATTTGTGAAGATTTTGTGTTTTTGTAGTTACTAGTTCAGTTTGTATGTGGGTTAATACTTTGTAGAGATACTCCAAGTGGGATCATGTTATGCTGTGTATCTCTCTTAGTTTAGCTTTTCTAATTCTTTTTAATGAACAGTGACTCTGTATGCTTTTTGGAACGATGTTCTGTTGCTAATTGTTATGTTTGGGAATTGGCTTCGAGAAATAAAAATCTATGTTATAGCATCTTGGAAATGTTGTTATGATCTATCTATTTTTAATTTGATCTTTTCATGTGGCTTTAAATCTTTTGTGAGCTCTCTAAATGACTATCTGTTTTGTCAATCGTAAGGCAAATCCTATGTCCTTTCAATATAGTTC